TATGTGCACCTCATAACACATGTGCAAGTCAATGTTGCAGAATACTGCAGAGGCACCAGTGCAAAGGAACAGGTGATGAAGAGGTGAGCAGTCAGCACTGGGCCAGAGCAACACAGCTTGCTATCATATTCAGGGAAGAGAATATAACAAACAACTGACTGAATGTCTCACAAAAACAGGCCCTGGTTCATGTAAGTAAAGATCATAACATGGCATAACGGACCTTTACGTAGAGAAAGCGGGCAGAAGTTGAAGCCATGCATAGGGACACTGTGAGCCTCCCATGAAGTGTAAGTGCAAGCTGGGACCAATTAAACTCACTAGAAGATTCCTGACTTTCTGTTTCCTATACTTTTTGATGTAACAGGTGTTAGGGATGTTCGTGGAGTCCTTTGCTCAGGACTCTCCACCCAGCTCATCTCTAGCAGCCACAGCACATTTGACAAGACAGTGGGGAAAATTAGCAGAGGCCATTTTGTCGCTGTGGGAGAGAGAAAGCTATGCCTGAGGAATAAAGGAACAGAGGTCATCACCTCAGGACACTGGGAGAAAGTGGAGATCTTACCTACAGATGACACAAGTGCAAACACTTCCAGCATCACACCGCAGTAGAGAAGTCTCTGAGCCTCATCAAGGAACTCCCACTCCTCCTGAGAGAAGACAATGGCCACGTCCTCAAAGTTCATATCCTGTCATAATGGGGACAGTACAGCCCAAGATCAGCTTCACTCCTAAGATTCTTAGTCTGTCATACTCCCCACCCTTCACATCCATCTGCTCTGTCCACTCTACACATCAGAGAAAATACCAGGCCTTCATCCCATGAAAGCCACCGTCTTCTTATATTCCTACTGACATTTTGTTTTCCCACTATAATAAAGGCATTTGAGCAGATAAAAGATACCTGAGCTCTGGACCTCCCATATACCCTCACTGACTTTTATCAACAGATTGGGTATCGAAACCACAGGTTAAAGAGAGATGCTGGTGATAAAGATAGTGTGAGTGATTTGATACTGGTCTTGTGAGACAATACCCTCAGATTGTTTCTCAAAGACGCCAAATACATGTCAATGCCACCAAGGCCTACGAGATGGCGCTCAAGAAGTACCATGGCTGGATCGTGCAGAAGATCTTCCAGGCAGCGCTGTGTGCCACGCCCTACAAGTCTGACTTCCTGAAAGCGCTCTCCAAGGGCCAGAACATGACAGAGGAAGAGTGCCTGGAGAAGGTCCGCCTGTTCCTGATCAACTACACGGCCACCATTGACGTCATCTACGAGATGTACACCAAGATGAACGCCGAGCTCAACTACAAGGTGTAGGCGTGCCCACAGCCGGCACTTCCAGGCACAAACAAGCCAGAATCACTGTGAAGCAAGCTGGAGGCCACCGTGGCCTGCGTCCCCCAGAGTGGCCCAGAGTCTGGCTGGGGTTGCAGGGGATGGCCCTGGTTTCTGAATGACTATTTTTGGGGTCTATCCTAACGGAGCAATAAATAACCACCCTACTTCTGAATCACCTTTAGTTCCACGGCAGCACAGACCGACTGCCTTCATTTCAGTGTGATAAAAACAGTTAATGTTGCTAATAAGGCAAGTCCTAGGGCTTTCTGTTCCCGGCCCCCCACGTGGTGCGTGGCCCTGGGGAAGCCCTGTCATACACCTCATTTAAAAGATGAGGATCTGGTGCAGTGATGTAAGGACCACGAGGAGTCTGATTTGAAATTACACAGGATTTTTTTAAAGCAGACTGCTGTGTGCTCCTGTGGTTGCACAGCCCAGCCTCACAGCGCTGTCAGCATAGAACCCACTCTTTCCTACTCTTTTTCCAGACAGTTTTTTATAGTTGAAAACAACCAGCAAGCCTTTGATGAACTTGACCAAGGGCATTGTATTTTAAAGCTATCAGGTATGAGGAACTGACCAGAGACGACTGAGTTAGCATTCTTCTGCATAAGTGTTTCCTTCAGAGACAGCCTACCCCACCTAAGAAACTACCTATCCTGTGTGTTCTCCCAGAGGGGAGGCCACGACCCTCCTGATGCCAAGACCCAAGGAACACTTCGCTGCCTTAACTCCCTCCTGGCACTAACAAGAGCTGTATCTTGAAAGTGTTGGGGTGAATAGAGAGACCCCAAAGAATTCATGTGTGTTAAAAACCCAATGAGGAACAATTGGTGATTTCTATGCAAACACTAAATAATTCTTAATAAATAAATCTCTATTTTGGAATGAAAAAAAAAAATGAGCCAAAGGGAGGCTGCTGTTAGCTCACTGGGCATTCAGAGAAAAGGAAGTCTTGAGTGCAGATTCAGGGGGTTACCCCAGGATGAGCTGCCACTGCTAGTTGCTACCCTGGTTACCGGTGAGTGGTATCCCTGAAAATCTTAGGAGAGCCCAGCTGGTGTGGATCAGTGGTTGAGTGCTAACCTATGACCCTGCAGGTTACTGATGGATTCCTGGTCAGGACACATGCTCAGGGGGATTAACCTTTAAAGTATGTCCACAGCTGCTCTCCT